TTCATTGTATGGTTTTCAGAATTTACTGAGATAGTCTGTAATTTTGCTTAAATACATCCGATTGTCCCCAACCGGTGTTCTGTTCACTACAGTCTGAGGGAAAGGTTTTCTAGGGAATAAAAACTACTAGCCCAATCTTGATGTTGGTTTGTTCTCTGAGCTGGACGGTTGGGTCGTGGAGCTTTCATCTAGCTCAGAGAACAAACCAACATTAAAATCACCCACCAGAGCTACAAATCTTCTCCACCATCTCACTAGTCTAGTATTTCAAGATAACTGCTAGTGTGATATAAGAAATGGTTAATAAAATCTAAAACCATGTTTAATTGAAAAATTGTATATTCAACATATGCTAAATGAAAATGTTCATAAAGAATAGATAGAGTAGAAAATAATTCAAAGTCATCAAGTGAGACATCATTATAGTGAACAAAATGAATGGTATTTAAACAGTGTTATCAATTTAAGAATATTGGTTAAAACACTAATTTCTTTGAGAATTTTAAAATGACAATTCTGCTGTTCGAACATTTAAAACGATTGAGGTTACTATTATATCATAATCAATAGACAGATAACAACAATTGAAGTCGCAAAGCATAAACAGAATGATCAAGTCAATGAGAACAAAAGCACTCATTCATAGAAAGAATAACATAGCTCCTTGTTTATATTTGATATTCTATAAGTCGATTAATATTTAACTCAGGAAACATTTATGTCAGTATTATGGATTCATAGTCACCTTTCTAGAAGAAACAGGAATGTGAATTCGATTTATACAGCATATAGAAATCAATAATTTCCAACAGTATTCTGTGATATTTACACTGATTTTACTCAACTATTCCACTCTAGTTCGTCTTTCGTATCACAAGCTGATTTTATTGAAGCAAATAGTTGAAATTCAGAAATAATAGACAACAGCTTCCTCCTATTATTAGATATCTCGGGATTTCACATCCACAACATATCCAAGGTTGAAACTCAGGGCATTCAGACATCTCAGCAAAGGATTATACCTTCAGTCTAGTCAGTTAGCATCCAATGATTTTATTTTTAATTTTAGTCAACTATTAATCGGTTCCTGAGAAATACTGGTGACTTTTTAGCTATATCTATGGCTCATAATACTTATTACACGTTGATTATTATACTCGTTTTTTAACCATTTTGTTTGCGAACAGATAAGAATTTATGTTAATATGTTAATTTCTACTATATCCATATCTAATAAAAGAAATCAACTGAACTACTATTTGGTGAAATTGAGCTTTCAAAGTAATATGTGTATGTATTTTCATCATAATGTGTTAAAATAATAAATTACCGTTTCGTAATTAAAAAATAATTTCCAAGAATAAGATCAAAAGAATTACTGATAACATATGAATCATCAAATACACGTTCCGAATTCAGATGAATGAATGAAACTTGAAAAACATTTGGAAAAAACTCAAAAAAAAAAAAACAGATCATCACTATGAAAAGATCGTTACAACTTCATTAAAATATTTAATATTAGTTTTCTACTTGGAACATGAGGAGTTGAGAGAGTACAGTTCTGCAGAAGCTCAAACAACTAAGGAATACCTATTTAATGTGCTATACATTTTCAAAATTTTCATGTTCATAGCAATTTATAGTGAAATATATTATCAAGTATCTTAGTTATATTTTAAAATTTCACTTGAAATGGTTTTCATTCAGTAAGTTTGATAAAACAAAAAAAATAATTTTTAAAACTTAATTTACACTTTGGGACAATTATGTTTATGGAAGTTTAGAAAATGATCGGTCATTTCTATATGACTGGTTTGATGAAATAATAAGAATTTTCATGATTTCATCCATATATCTATGCCGTTACAAATAAACTACAGACCCCAATGTAGAAAGAAAATATTTTTCTAAGTTATTATTACATGAATAACTTCGAAGTTAATCGTTTTCTATCGGAAAATTACATTATTCTCCCTTACTAGTTTTCATTATTTAAGTATGATACTTCACTAAACCAAGACTACTAGGTGGCAAATCATCCAGAATAGATCTACTGAAACTTTAAGAGTAACTTATTGTCGTATATTGTGACATTTCTTTAATCTTACCACCCGACTAGAATGTAATAATAAGCATATCCCAGTTTATCGTTAATTAGATTTCTAGAGCTGATGGGTTATCAGATGATCATCAATCTGTTCAATGGATTTAAAAGTGTACTCCTACTTTCTGAAGTAAACAAGTGATATTTCAAGTGAGTCAAAACATGTATTACATTAAAATAAATATTGATTATTCAACTATCGTGTTTTGTCTTATTCCTAGACAACGAATACATGAAGATTGTTATTCCTATAACTATTTATTCCATTGTATAAAATATTTCATTGTACCATTTAAATCTATTTAATCTTAACATGCGTATTGACCAATGGAAGACAAATAAAATGTTAATATTTCATGAGAAAAAAACAAGTGAATGATAATAATAATAATAAACAGTAGACTTTCATTGGGGAATATAATGTAACTCAAATTCTAGATTGACAAAGGTATATAATGTTGAACATTAACTGATATAGGCAGGTAAATTAGATATTGGTTCCATGCCTGATTATTACTTACTTACGCCTGTTACTCCTAATGGAGCATAGGCCGCCGACCAGCTTTCTCCAACCCACTCTGTCCTGAGCCTTCTTTTCTAGTTCTATCCAACTTTTATTCATTCTTCTCATGTCTGTCTCTATTTCTCGGATTAATGTGTTCTTTGGTCTTCCTCTTCTCCTTTGACCTTCAGGATTCCATGTGAGAGCTTGTCTTGTGACACAATTGGGTGATTTCCTCAAAGTGTGCCCTATCCACTTCCATCGCTTTATCCTGATTTCTTTCTCCGTTGGAATCTATGTCTGATTATACTCTACTAATAATCCTTACATTAAGCTTATAAACAAATGTTCTATTTAAGGTCATAGGCATTATCAATTATGTTACTATCTCAATGTATTTAGTTATTCATTTACTTAATAATACAAAAAATATATGAACTTAATTATTTCCAAATGATGCTTCATAGTAACACTTACAATTATAATATTATACAAGTAATCTATAATATGTTTATTGTAAGATTTTATTGCATTAAATTACTAAGGATAGAAAGTATATTCAATGTACAATAGAATGAAACTATTTCATCTCTACAGGGATTATGTCAATCAATCTTACTTTGCTAAAATTATTTCAACATGAAATGATTGTAACATAACACATACAAATAATAAAATAAATGAATGATTCTAATTTAATGATGGTTTATAAAGATTACATAACTATCGAGAATGATTACGTCATGCGTGCTTACAAGTTCCATCTGATAAACTTCTCCGTAGAAGTAATAAAGTTGAACAATTCAAGTTATATAACCTTTGAAGAGTAAATCGTTCTACATTCAATCAATACAATAACAAATCATCATGTTATGGAGTACTTATAAATAAATTTTTAATGAGGGACTAATTGTGTTGTGTTTAATATTGATTATAGTGAAGATATCATTCATTATACCTTTTTTATACTTGAATCTCTTAGCTTATGACGGCTTAAATATTCAAAACGTTATGATCAACAATATGAGATTACGATAGTGTAATAAGAAGACGAAGATTATCAGAGCTATTGTGATATATTAGCGAAATACATTTAGAACAATCCGATCACACATATACTTGTTAAAAACAGTTATATATATAAATAAAAGGTCAACTAGACTGGAAATGAGAGGGGCTAAGAGTAGACAAGGATAATAATAATAATAATAATAATAATAATAATTAGCTGGACGAAACGTTGGAATTATTTAAATTTCAATCGCTGAGACTATTTCAAATATAATTCTTTCACATATAATGAATTCTCTATACTCGGCGCCCAAGTATTGTCAAACTATTCGTTCTAACCTTGACGAATATTCGTATAAATAATAATAATAATAATAATAATAATAATAATAATGTGAAAACCATTTGAAAAATAGTCCCACTGGATAATAAGCTAATATTACCAGGGTAGTTTCAAGGTGAGAACAAACTGTTTTTGGATACATAAAGGGGGTTTAAATGTAAACATTTAAGCAGTAAATAGTTACGATATGGTGTATTTTTATCCAACCATCTATTTACTTTTATTCTAATTCCTGATATTAAATTTTTGTAAGCAAATTCTCAACAAATATCGGGTTAAACCATGTAAAATCTGTTTTCGATCAAATTTACTCAGAGCCTTTCGATATCTTAAGTCTTCATTAACTTTCTAAGTAATATGAAACAGTCAAAGGTTGTTCTTCTTCTTGTTTTTTTTTAGTAAAATGTCAACTGAATGCTTTAATAAGTATATATAAACATGACATTAAACTGTTACAATATTCACTTTAAGAATATTTAGTAAGAGTCAATGATAAAAGTATATGAGAATCATCTTTTTTTTATTAATCAAAAAAGCAACGTTTTATTCAGTCAGTAGTCAGTTGAGAAACCCCCATTGAACTAGATGAGATCAATATTTCAAAGAAATAACTAAATGATATCCTCAAAAACAATTAAAACATTACTCTGTTATAATAAATTTATTGTATAATCCCCCCCCCCAAAAAAACAAAATAAATAAATAAAAACAGTGTACAAACCTACATACTGAATAAATAATGAAATGTTTTTTTTTCATTTTTTTTATTTTCATAAAAGTATTCAATGTTTAAGTAAACATTGATAAATCATTGATAAAAATTCATCACAGTTTTCTTGTTTTAATTTTTCCTGTTATGTAATGAAAACTTTATCGATTTTTGTATCAAAAAAAATTTTTTTTAAAGATCTTTTCAATGTTATGTAATCAATTTAAAATTGTCATATATCAGTATATTGATATTATTGTTTGAAAGAAAAGATCCTTTTTGTAGAAACTACTTGGAAACATCATATGTAATAATAATAATAATAATTTTATTATTATTATTAGTAGTAGTAGTAGTGATATTGTGAATTACATCTACTATTATATTTAATCATAGACTTATTGTACAATAAAACCAAAAGAAGAATTTTTCTTCATTCACTCTTTACAATTACTATCACCTTGTTTCAGTACACTCAGGAAGGAATGTTATCAGGTGAAAAAGGAATTATTATCAAAACTTTAAATTAAATGTTATAAATTATTATTTTATATCATGGTTACTAGGGTTCGTATATGAGGGATTGTTTTTTTTCACTTTTATTTTCTAAACTACTTATCATATACACCAATAAAATAAAATAAAGGTAGAAAATAGACAAAAAGATTAAAATGAAACTTCCGAAAATGAACTAGATAATACATTTCTTCCATATATATATAACATGGACTTAAAGTAGATCTAAGCATTTCCTGGATGTATAGAGAATATTCAGTTAAAGAACTTTAAAAAATGATATTTGAACATATTAATGTTTGTCAACTGAGAAGAAACAGAGGAGAAAAAAATGAATGTTGCATATTCTCTAAAACTGTGACATGGTTTGTCTTATAAAAAAAACTTATCTGTTATAATAGATGCTTCTCCTTGTTGTTTGATAACTTGATACGTCTGGTGATGACACCAAATCATCTGCATGTCTTGATCTTGAAACATACATGTATATTGGACCATCAGGACATATATGAGCTCCTGTTTGATTGTCTACTTTAAGATAAGTCACTTCATCATTCATCCCTGGACTAGATGTGGTTCTATAACTTGTAACACTACGTGGTCTATTTCGCTCAATTGTATCATATCGTCGTTCAATACTGACTGGTCGACTATTTCGATACACATAGACATCTTCAGGTGTAGGTGAGCAACGTACACTTGTTCTTGTCACAGGTCTAATATACACTGGTGATGGGGAGCGAACTGGTCTCTCATACGTTCTCGTGTGTTCTGGTGGGACAGTAATCACTGTAACTGGACCATTTCGAGGTGGAGTATCATGGTAGTATGTTGGTGATACCGAAATTTGACGGATTGGTGTAGAATCTTTCAAGAGAAAATGTGGATCTTGTTGCGCTTTAAGTATAGTATTACGAAGCAAAGCGACATCTTCAGGCCGCTTACATTTATACGACTCATAGGACCGTCTCCCAGTTCTTTCATCTTCTATTCCTAGTGTAAAACAATCAGGCCGACTTCTGTGTTCATAAAAGCGGTTAATTTCTCTATAGGTTAAATCAGGTCTGTATGAACGTGAACCAGTTGATCTACTTTTCTGAAATCTTACTCTGTCCACTAAACAATACATTGAACCGTGAGATTTTCGTCTTTTAAAGTGTTTCTCTATTAAAGTATCAGCTGCATTTGGATCAAATAGTTCACCATCCTTTAAAATAGTTCTTCCCATTGTACAAACTGGAGCTTCTTGAAAGAGTAACTGTTTAGATTTGCTATCCACATAATGTTCACCAGCTTGTGAATAGTATGTTCGACCTCTTGATCTATTACGTGATGACATGTTTTATTATTCTATGTATATATATATATATATATCAAACTGTTAAATCAAATATATTTTATTGTGTAGAATTCTTTTTATGATGAAATACTAAATTAAACTTGATATTATCAAGCTTTTTATATTAGTTGTATTAAATACGTATTTTTATAACATTCTATAGAATTTGTACCACGTGTATGACCTTGATGTATTCATCAAAAAGATTTGAAAGTGGGTGTTACATTACATTTTCTCAAGTAAAAGAAAAAAGGTAGTTAGATGTGTCATTTAAATTGTAAAAGTGTAGAATTGTTAACTTATATGTAGAAATCAATAATTATTCTAATCACATTGTATGATCTAGTTACCTATATAACCGTCTAATATCGTTGTATTTATGTTAGGAAAACGCACTTTAAGTGAATGAATTTGTCATTGCCTGTTGTTCAAAATATGTGTTTCACAACATTGATTTACTACTTTTAAACTTCCTACGGCTGTCATTCAACTAACGATTGGAAAAGATGATTATGACTGTCAAACAAATCCAGAGCGGGAAAGCAGTAGGACCTGACAATATATCAACTGAAGTACTGAACTCAGACATAGAAGTAACTGTAAACATGCCTCACGTTCCGTTCAAGAAGATTTGGTAAGGATTTGGAAAGGAGGATACCTCATCAAAATACCAAAGAAAGGGGATCTGAGTAAATGTGAGAACTTCAGAGGCATCAGACTACTATCGGTTCCAGGGAAGGTTTACAAAAAAGTGTTGTTGAACCAGATGAAATATTCAGTTGACGTGTAGCTCCGAGACCAACAGACTGGATTCAGTAAGGATTGGTCATGCACAGACCAAATCGCCAGATTACAGATCATCGATGAACAATCGATCGAATCGAACACGTCACTATGCATTAATTTTTTTGACTATGAAAAGGCGACTGACAGTCCGGATAAGAGAACATTATGGAACCTTCTTCGATACTATGGAGGGAATAGTTGAGAAAATCGTCAACATCATACGACATTCATACGACGGACTACAGTGTAAAGTCGTGTATAGAGGACAGCTGACAGATGCAATCCAAGTGAAGAGAGTTGTTAAACAAGGTAGCTTACTCTCTCGCTTTCTTTTTCTCCTGGTAGTTGACTGGTTAATGAAGACCTCGACATCTGAGGGAAAGCACGGAATATAATGAACAACTCCGAATCAGCTAGAAGATTTGAACTTTGCAGATGACCTGGTACTTCCATCCATACACATCAAATAATGCAGATGAAGACAACCAGTGTAGTAGCAGCCTCTTCATCAGTAAGCTCCAACATGTACAAGACAAGATCCCCAAATACAACACAGAAAACAACAACCTAATTACACATAATGGAGAAGCTCTGGAAGATGTGGAAATTTTCATGTACCTGGACAGAATCACCATTGGACAAGTAGGCTCTGTTCCAGACGTAAAGGCGAGGGAAGCATTTCTACAGTTGAAGAATATATGGAACTTTCAGCCGACATGAAAGTCACAATCTTCAATACAGACGTCGAGACACCTAGTTCTACTGTACGGAGCCGAAACTTTGAGGATTATTACAACCATCATCAAAAAGGTATAAGTAATCATAAATAAATGTTTACACAAGATGCTCAATGTCTGTTGACCGGATAGCATGAGCAAAAGCTTAATATGGAAAACAACTAAGCATTTTTCATCTGAAGAGAAATTAGGAAAAGACGTTGAAAGTGGATAGAACTCACATTACTATGCCTTCTAAAATAATTTCTGCCATCTGGATAATTGTAAATGAAAACGTTATATATAGAAATAATTTTCTCATTTACATATATACTATTTATTCAAATATATTTTGACACTGCGTTTCACTAGGTTTTGATGTAACAGTCCTAATGTTTTCACTGACTGTTTAACTACTGAGTCGTACGACTAGTTCGTCGTATTCTTAACTGAACGTTGTTGAAACATTAGCTTGAGAACTTTAGGTAACCCGTAAGGTTGTTGATTTTGTATTACGGAATATTCAAGTACACCCTAGATAGAGTGAGAACTGAGCTGTTGCTGCTCCAGAGAATGTAACATACTGGTAAGTCAACCACTAGTACTGTAGTGATCGAAGAACTAAGTTGGGGATAATCAATTTATTGTTTAATGCAGAATTATTGTCTTTTGTAAAATATGAAAACCACACATTAAATCCATCATTTGCACATCTTATGAACTCCATCGTTCCTTCATTCCTGATGTTTTCTTGATTGTCTTAAATTTTCTCCTCTCTTCCCTTCATTTCAATCTTCTCAATCTTCTGCTCTTACGTACTCGACATACTACTCATATCTGGCAACATAAATAGCAAACACTACAGTATCATTGGTTATGTCCTCCCATAACTTTAGCGTCTGAAACTTAGTTTGGCCATGTAGGCAGAGATTCATTTTATCAATGTATTCAGTCTTACCTCAAACTACTATACTTGATCATTTTTCAAGTTTAGTGATTAGGGAGTTCTCCTCTGGTTTTATTTTTCGGGTGTGAAAATGTAAAATAATGAATTCATCATCTGAAAGTTATTACATAAGAGAATATGACTGACATAGTTTTGTTTTTACTCGATAAATATGAGACTTTTCCAAGTACCATCTTGCTTATGACTTTGTCTGTAAGTTTTAAATGTATAATGAGAGCAATATGTTGATTTCCATCTCGTAAAATGTTTCCTCAGCTTCTATTTGAACGTGCCACTGATGCTCAGTGTTTGAGAATGCCACAGTCCAGAACCTCTTCTTATACAACGATCGCCAAGCCAATTGAACCAAAAGTCAAGAATGAAGGGACGCGAAGATGCACCTATGTTAATGTTCAATTTATCGTTTTCTATAGAGTGCGAGCTGGCTAGTTGTCGTAATAGATGAGCAACACGATGTGTCGAAACCTGTTCTGGTATCGACGCTTGACGAAATACTTTCAGCTAGGGATGTGTCTAGTAAAACTAAAGTCAGTATAAATGTCAAAGACTGACCAAGCTATTTATTGTAAAGATTTGTTTACTAATACACGGTATTTCTTTGCCGATTTCAAACAAACATCAATAATGAATAACAACATAAATGATAATAAGGATACCTATGACCGTTAAAGGGTCTCCTATCTATAATACTAATGCATGATGAGATACGATAAAGAATGAAATATTTTACCATATCACAACGAACCACCCTCTTAATGAAACTGCGCACATCAAATAATCCGTTGCATTTATTTTTTGTTACTATGATCAACATTTTAAAGTATTTATCATAAATAAATATAAGTAGTATTGTCCATGTTCTAACAAAAACAACATAAGTCTGTATATTAGACCTTTCAAGAACATTAAATATGGTAGATTGTTTTTATATCTTACAGGATTATCAAACAAAAGGTGGATAAATAAAAAAATATTTCTACTCATATATAAAATTTGTGAACATTAAAATCCAAGTGCTTAAGAAAGGCTAGAGTTCTCGTTTCACCGTTTTTCATCTCTTTATAAACGACCTAAAGAAAGGGGAAATGATAGAAGGAAACGCTCCAACATTTGAAAAAAATATTTTGTACACTTCCTTTCGTTATCTGTAGAATGTATACAATCTTAATTTTAGTAAATGTGACCAATTTTTTGATGTGAAAGAGATCGTTTGAAAAAATAGGAGGTCTAATGACAAGTTTGAATAAGACATATTTTGATCTGATCTAAATATTCTTCTTTCGGTAATGTTAATTGACGTGTTGCATGAAAATGCCTCATGAACAAACAATTTGATTCATGTTTTTTAGTCTCGTGACTTGGTTTCAGTGAAATATGGTTGAATATAAAGAAGTTCAATCGCGGAATATGTTCTAGTGTACATTATACTTAGAAGTATTATGGATTGTGATGAAATCGTCATTTCGTTGAAGTTATATTACTAATCTATCAGAGGGAATTTATTAACTTGAATGACTACAATTTCTTATAGCTTCTTTAAAAACCTTAAGAATATGACATAATCAATTATAAATAAATTGATTTTGCTACTTTGGTTTACACCCAACTGAGCAGAGCGTTTATTGTGTTTAAACAATGCCTGTGAAAACAAATAAAATGAACAGTAATTGGTTCATTTATTTAATGACAGAAATTGGGTGTACAAAGCATCTAACAAATTGAAGAACAGATCCAAAATAGGAAACGTCTATATACGTGCAAAACCTATAATTACTAATACGGTTACATAATCACGTACAACATTATCTAGTTCATTATAGAAGGGGTTTTGTGCAGATTTAGTATTTATTATAGTTGAAAGCGTGAGTCAATTGAAGTTAGACCACCATCGAAAACCTGGAAACACTGGACGACCGTTTCGTCCTATTATGGGACTCCTCAGTAGTGCGCATCCACGAACCCGCTCTCGCGAGATTCGAAACAAGGATCTACCAGTCTCGAGCCGAAGCCCTTAACAGATAGACCACTGAGCTGGCAGTGTTTCCAGGTTTTCCATGGTGGTCTAGCTTCAATTGACTCACGCTTTCAATTATCTAGTTCAGCCAATTATTTTAATCAAGAATATAGTAATGATAAAAAGATATTTATATGAAACTTCTAAAAGATCTCATCAAATTAGTCATTTTAAAGTGAAACCTACTGTTATTCTATTCAACAGTAGAAACTCTTTCAAAATTAGGTTGCAAATAAACCTAGATTATTCCTGAGAATTGTTTCTTCTTAGGTCTTACACTATTTCACATTATAATTTAATTGAAATTATTTGGTTAAAGGACAATAGTTGAGGAACTTCGTTTGACTTTCGCATGATATGCATTCAAGATGAAAGCAAGTTATATTAAAACAATCGTATGCTTGCTAATGGTAAGCTTTGAAATACAGATCACTATGTTCTAATGCTCAACTAGAACATATGAAGTTGACTACGTCGAATGTTAGACGATAATTTAATTATGATATTGAATCAGGATCATTGTATACAACAAATCAATTAGAGTCGGTAATGTGAAATCAATCTCAGTGATCCCAATGCACCGTATTCAATGTCAGACACAAGTCATTTAGGCTTGATACAATGAATGATCGCAAATGAGCCAAA